ACTTATCAAGAAAAACAACCCTTAAACGAACTCGAGTTCAACTTGTTCAATAAGCCGGTTCCAAGGTTATATATACAATACAATAATTGCACATCAATAAGTCAATTATAGAAATGGAACCAAACAACTTATATCTACCAACATTATTCCACCAATTCAAACTAAAATAAATAAATAAATAACACCAAAGAAAGAAAATGAAAAACGATATATATGAGAAAATTACCTTTAAGGTAACAATGTTTAGGCATTACAACGAACAAAATGGCAACCGAAGTTTTCCAAAGTGAATCACAAATCAACAGCGATCAATACTTAGACAAGTTCTTCCCCAAATAAACACCAATACTGTTTGAGTTCAATCCCAAGTCCAGACTTGCGTTTGACTTGCTAAGAATGGGGATGTTAAGCTGTGATTCTAGAACGACCCTTCGCAATTCTCCGAGCAATCACCCTTCGGCCTCCCTTTGTCGCTTTTCTGTTCAGGATGGGAGAACCACTTATTTTTCAGGCACGGGATATGAGCTATTAAACATGCAAAAACAAAAGAATTGCTCTGGCATTTATCTCATAAGTTCTGCACACGGAGATTTAACTTTCATCTACGAAAGAACTAAGCACAAAAGGTACCCATGACTTACAAAGAAAATAAATAAATAATAAGAAAATAGATTATGTTTTACAAATTCACAGTGTTAGGCCTGTATAAATAAATGCGGTCAGAAGCATTTAAATTGCTTGCCAATCATAAGTATTACATAAATTCTTAACCGAAGGAGGGAGAGAGAGAGAGAGAGAGAGAGAGAGAGAGAGACAGAGAGAGAGAGAGAGAGAGACTAACCTAGCAAAGAATCCATGTGTTCGTTTGCGCCGGATGTTGCTTGGTTGGTAGGTCCTTTTGGGAAATAAATGCATAGGTGTGCTTGATGAAGACTCTTCAACTGCTATGAGTCAAAAAGAAAATATCAAAAGTAATAAGTGATTGGAAAAACACACAATGCCAACTCAAATAAACTACAGTGGCTACCAATTTCAACGGGAGTTGATGAACAAAAAGTTATAACATACATGACATCAAAAAGAAGGAAACTCGACAAGAAATTGGACGACAAAATAATTTGTAGCTAATCTCTTAATGACTATCTATGAGCCCAATTCTTGTACCCAATTGATGTTTCTTGTCCAATGACAGCATGAAATTCTGTGATGTACAGACTTCAATTCAAGTAACATGTCCAAAATTACTTTATTTTACATTTAACCATGTTTTGAATTTACCCAGAATTTTCAAAAGTTTCTACCAAACCACAGTTTCACAAACAGTTGATATACACAGTAATTTAGTAGCTGAAGATCCACCCTTTTGTTTTATATCATCCAAACTCGAGTATCATCCATGTTCATCAATTACGTAACTATTTTTATTATCAATACAACAGAACCCATCCTTCTGCACTGCAGCCAACATCACCACAAAAATCCTCCCCTGTACAAATAATGAAAAACAAGCTATTATTTGCTTCAATTGTGAAACATCCTACAACAAGTGCCAGGCATATCTCTCTTCTAATGTCTCTCTCTTTCAATAAGTACAATGTTGATCCTGGTGCAGGTATGCATACAAGGATAGTCAAACATTAGATGAAAAAAAACATCACTCATCTAAGGACACGGCTGTAAATCAGATGAATGTCATGATTCAAAATTGTTCCACATTCAGCATCCAAGAAAACTGCTTAAGGATTAGCATACAACTAACTGCTCAATTTCGGATGCTTGGTCACAGTGAACTATTATAATATTCAATCTTCTAACAATGAGCAACACAAAGAAAACTGTTAATACCCTGTCACACAGCAGTACTTGGATGAACTCCAATCAGTTTACAGAATCTTAAAAGACCGACTTGTAAATAAAAGCACTAGAATTTGACCAATCAAACTACGGACAGAAGATGTTGTGCATCATAAGTGGAAGCTCTTGTGGTGCCTTACCATGTCCTGTTATGGAATGTATTTAGTCTACAATTCACTAAGTACAACCATGTCCAGTAGGTCCTGCTTTTCAACATGGGGGCTGAGCATTTTTATTCAGTTGGATAACTATGTACAACACAAGCTTAATAAGCACTCCAATCGGCCTCTACTTATTCAGTCGGCATTTTAGGTCGAAAAAATATAAACGGGGATGATGGAGGGTCATAATCCAACCAGATTCCCAAACAATGGCATCAAATTTTAGTCTCTTTGGGGGGGAATAAAAAAAGAAAAATATTTCAAGGCATTCAAAAACACAAAAAAGGGGTTGAAACATTTTTCATATATTATCATCTAAACCATGATAAAGCAAGCCTAAATCAAATAAAATCTTACTGGCTATGGAAACCTAATCAGGGGACTTAAACAGAAGACTGCAACAGGATAGCCCAAATGGATTTATATCCAAGGAAGCTGCAAAAGTTTAGATAATCAACAAATAAAACAATATAATTGAGCTAATAAACTCTTTAGATTTCAAATCTTCATAAAAAATGAAGGAACAATTTTAAATGAAAGATTACAACTTTACCTTCGGGCAGGAAGAACGGAAGAGAGGGGAGGCCGGAAGGGTAGAGAAAGCCCTCGGATGAGAGATTTATGATCGGCTCGACGGCGTCTTGATCCGGTTGGAATCGCAACGGCGTCGTCTTGTGAGACTGAGGGATAAACAGAGAGGGAACAAATTTCCGAGGGGAGATCGGTTCGGGATTGTGAGATAATATCGTATTCGGGTTGGGATTGGCTGTATGGTTGAGGAAACGGTTCATCAGAGAAACTCCGGTGCGGAAAAGGTTTTTGGAGGACGCCATTTTTGCGAAATTGGAGGTTTGGGATAATGACAGTGACTGTTAAACCCTAATTAAGGAATCGAAGTGGATTTTGTAGTACCTTTTTTTTCCCTTCATCTTTCCTCATATAGTTTTATCCATTTATTGGGAATGCTAACATCCCGTTTTGGGAGGGTCCGGTTGTATTTTTGTAATCGTACATATACATGTAATCTAGTAATGTGTAGATAATCTACAGTTAAAAAAACAACGGAACAATCCCGTAACGGGATGGTAGCATTCTCCTTATTTATTATATTGTGGGCATGTTTGGATATAAATATATATATATAGGGATCATATGAGAATGGAAGATAGTGAAACAAATAAGAATGATTATAGACCATTAGATCAGTTATATCAATGGAAATCATGAAATCAAAATTAAGTTAAGTGGTCAAACTTGCAGTGGCAATACTGTAAATATATTATTATATCATGACCAAATAAATAGCTAGGAGGGCAGTCTGGTAATTTTACCAAACAACATAATCAGTGGGCCCCACTCATTAAATTCAAACTTGTTTCTCTCCTCTCTCCTCTCTCTTCTCCCCGTTTCTCTCTTCTCTGTCCTCTCCCCTCTCTCCTCTCTCATCCATCTTCTCCCTCCTCTCACTTTCTATCTCTCATTCCTCTCTCCCCGCCGGCTGTTCGCGGCCTGACTGAAGGCGCATCCCCCACCACCGTCGGTCATGTCGCGCCTCTACCGTCTAGCCACCGCAACATCAACTCGAATCGCCTCCGTCGTCCGCCGCCTCTTCCAGTCAACAACGTCCTCCACATAGATGGCCGCACTCAGCAACACTGCAGATGTCGTCTGTCTTGTGGCCACCAGAGACGTTCGCCATTAACCACCACCCCAAGCTTCACGCTGTCATCTGCTCGTAACCACCAAAATGCTGCCGGCAAAGCGAGATGGTTCCGTCGCCGCCAATACCTGCATAGCTTTTGCCATAGCCCGTCGCCACCACTCCCAGCATGCTCCATCTTGATGTTAAGTTTTGAATTTCTCTGCCATGTTCGGTGAGAGGCTGTTCTCTGGTGGCTACCCTTCGGCGGAGTTTACAGATCGGACGGGGAGGGAGACACTAAATCAAATTTTTGTATTAACCGAGTTGGGTCGTACTTGTTTATAAAATGAGTCAAGCCGAGCTGACTCATTTATTAATCAAACACGAGCTTGAACATGAAACATTTTAGCTTGGCTCCACTTGAATAACACCTTTTGAGATGATATATAATTTGTATAACACACACACACACATGCATACAGTTTCATTTTTAATTAAAGAGATAAAATAAATAATAAAAATGTTGTACAAAAGATATAATTTTTGGACTTTGTTAATCTAAAATTATGTTTGATATTTTTTCATTTCACGATACTCGTTAACAATTGATTCAATGTTAGTGTTAACAGTTATTGCGATTACTTTTTGATACGTAAAATTGCATATCTTGCATGCTCTGCTATTTATATTTTTAGTTTAAGATGTCACATATCCCATACCTTCAATTTTATTAAATCATATGTTACAACGAAGAAACACCAAATATTATAGATGGAAAGTGAAAATTTACTGACAAAAATATAACGTAGTTAGAAATGATTAATAGACTGAGCAATACAATAATTAGTACATATGAAAATTAGGTATAAATTGAATGTACTTATAATATATATTTATGTACTAAAGGATAAAAATTGGTAATATGCTTGCAATTCTAGCTCCTCCATTAGCAAATCCGTGCAGTATAGATTGTGGAAGGTGAAAGTTGCAGGGAAATTGAAACACTTTCTTTGGAAGTGTATCTCAGGAACACTTCCTGTGGCTAGTCTATTGAGGAAAAGGAAGGTTAATATTGATCATATTTTCTCTGTTTGTGGTGAGACATCTAAAACCATAGAACATCTGCTTCTATCTTGTCCTAGAGCTTGCAGAGTTTGGGATATTGCACCTGTGACATGGCAGGGAATTCAAAGTAGCACTGGATCCTTCAAGGAGTGGTGGTACAAAATTTGTTCCCTTAATCACTTCGAAGTTGCCGAAGCAAGGATTCAACTTTCAACTTATATCCTTTGGTGGCTTTGGAAGTCAAGGAACTTATGGGTGTTTCAATCCACTCTTATGCCAGAAGTTCATGTGATCAAATTAGCTCATTCTGATTGGACCCAATTTATGTCTGCTTGTGGTTTTTGATCTTGTTTTAGTTTAGGTGTATATATACATAGTAAATATGCTTCCAAAGGATCATGGATGTGGAACTGTTGGATGGAGGTGATCCATTTCTTTTCTAAGTGGCTGAAAACAGAAATAAGAAATGGAGAGTCTACTATGATTGCTGACTTCAACTGGGTTCCAACACTTCGGAAACCTTCACCTCCACTCATTCCTATAGCTAGAGATCACCTTATCTTGGACAAAGATCTTGTACACAGTAATAGATCCTCTTGGAATGAGTGGCTAGTGAGGCAGGTCTTTGATCCCATTGATAGTGAAGCCATCCTCAGAATTTCCTCTCTTAACCCAAACAGGCCAGATAGACTTTATTGGGGGCTGGAATTCAAGGTCAGTTCTCTGTTACCTGTACTTATAAATTTCTTTCAAGAGTTAAGCTTGCTCAGTTAGATATCCCTGAGAGCAGTTCTAGCTCCTCCATCAGCAAATCGGTGCACTATAGATTGTGGAAGGTGAAAGTTGCAGGGAAATTGAAACACTTTTTTTGGAAGTGTATCTCAGAAACACTTCCTGTGGCTAGTCTATTGAGGAAAAGGAAGGTTAATATTGATCATATTTGCTATGTTTGTAGTGAGACATGTGAAACAATAAAACATGTGCTTCTATCTTGTCCTAGAGCTTGCAGAGTTTGGGATATTGCACCTGTGACAAGGCAGGGAATTCAAAGTGCACAAGATCCTTCAAGGTGTGGTGGTACAAAATATGTTCCCTTGATCACTCCGAAGTTGCCGAAGCAAGGATTCAACTTTCAACTTATATCCTTTGGTGGCTTTGGAAATCAAGGAACTTATGGGTGTTTCAATCCACTCTTATGCCAGAAGTTCATGTGATCAAATTAGCTCATTCTGATTGGACTCAATTTATGTCTGCTTGTGGTTTTTGATCTTGTTTTAGTATAGGTCTTTTCTCTTTTTTAGGAGCTAATTCTCTCTTTTTAGGCCTTGGTTATTTTTCAGTTTTTGTTTCAGTTTCTCATGTAGAGGATCTAGGCCACCTTAGGGTGTGTCTCAAACTTTTAGCTTTCTTTTTGGAGTTGTATTTGAACATTGTATTTGGACTATGTCCCCTTTGAATTTAATGATAATCTATCTATCGTTTTAGAAAAAAATAAATAATAAATAATAATAATAATTAAAAGATTTGAAGGGACAATAGCCCCCTACGCAAAACATGAATCCGCCTGTGCACCGTTGTATCACTAACATAGAGCTCCCCCTCCAAAAAAGGAATAACCTATAAAACTCTTAACTAAAGAAGATTAGAATACTCCACAATAAGAGAATAACAACAAAATAAACAATTACATAAACAGAAAAAGAACAAAAAAACAAAATTGCAAACTAAATTATGACCTTCCCCAATTCAATCAGCCGACGTCACCACCTTCCCAGCAGCCGAAAAGCTGATAACCACGGCAAACGAACACCGCCAACAATATTGGGAGCACAATCCACCACACCTAGAAGCCTTCAAGCCTAAAAACAAACGACATCCAACACTCAACTCTATTTCATCAAAAGAATGGCCAAGTTTTTTTACGAAGAGTCAAAACTCGAGTCAAAGATCTGACAATCGAGAGAGGATCTAGGAAAGGGGGGAAGATCGGCATCCCTAACACTCCGGCTTCCACCGGACGGCGGGTTTGGATGGACTCATTTTCATTGAGTATCATACATGACCCCTCACCCCATAAATTGGAAATCTCAATTATGCTTGTGGTACACTGTACAGGGCCACGTACACAAAGCCCAAAATAGCCGATCGTCAAGACATAATGTAATTTTCCTAAAGCGTACAAACAAGTAAATACAATACACAATCTAAGCTGCACATAGTCTCAAGTAAAAGTCAGGCACTATAACCCTCATATCTATTCTTACTCATTCATCTTCATTATCTTCATCATCTTCATCTTCATCAACTAATTCTTCTTCTTCAATTTCATCTTCCTCTTCGTCCCGAATTTCTTCCTCATCCTCCAAGTTTTCATCATCGACAATAAAACCACCCAACGTCTCATCATCCTCATCCTCATCCTCTTCATCATCATCAATCTCTCTTGTTTCTTTCACAGTCGGGCTTTTTCTCTTGCTTCCATCTTCTTTTTTACTATTTTTCCCTCTGTCCTTTGACCTTGTCATGTATTTAGGCTTCTGACTTTTTCTTGATTTGTGAACTATAACTTTGTCATCTTCACTTTCCGCTGACCAATCCTCATCATCATTCTCGGTGCCTTTCTTCCTTTTCCTTCTCGAGCTTCTTTTCTCTGTTTTACCCTCATCTTCGTCTTCATCATCAATATCCTTTTTTGCTTCCTCAAGAAACCAATCCCATTGCTTGATATCGCGAATCATTTTCACCGGATAGGAATCAAACTCATGCCCTATTGCCAGGAAACCAAATTCTGCAAACAGAACTTAACTATTTTTAGCAAAAACAAATCACCAGAGAGTAATTGGCTATAATACGAATTTATGTAACTAAGCAGACAAAATTCGATAGCATATCATGATATCTACCATGGAAACAAGAAGAACAAGAATCCTGGAACTCATGGGCTGGAAGTTCAAAAATTATTTTTCAAAAAACAATCACCAAACATTTTTACTTAGCAGCTTAGCACCAACTACCATGCGCTAGAATATACAAAAACAACTACTAAGCCCACAAATCAGATGGCAAAAACTAGATCAATCTACAAACCTGAAACAACTCACATTAAGAAATCAAGTTCTGCAAAAACGAACCTTTGACAGGATCCAAACCCAAAACATCCACAGCTGATTGAACCATATCTTCGAACCCCCTCGAGTCGAAAACACTCTCCAAATTGGCGCCCAATTCGTTCTCTGGGTCATTTCGTCGAGCACCTCCCACGTCACCATTATCAATTTTCCTTATAGCGTACCAAACGGGATTCTTGGCTGAAACGCAGAACATATCGCCGTCGCGCATCTCTCCCCTCTCGAATCTTCTGAAAATTTTGACTCCACCGCCTTGGCTCACGTAGATGGGGTTTCTGCCGAGGACTTCGAACTGAAGGAGAGTTTCTTGTCCAACGTTTGGGGCTAGAAGGATAGAGAACGAGATTTGGCGCCGGGAAATGGTTTTGTCGACGGAGCTGAGTCCGTGGGTTCGGCCGAGTTCCCGGGTTTGACCCGGGTCAATCCGGATCCGGGTTCCGTCTTGGCTTACGACCTCCATTGAAGAAACCGCGAGAAATTGTTTGGGCTGTAACTTTCAACGTGTCAGCAAGGTTCTAATTTTCCAGTAAAGCTATGGAGCCAATGGTTGGCTCCCTTATGGAGCCAACCATTGGCTCCATAGTATTATTGTCTAATTTTCAATGTAAAACAAAACAAAAATTATGTTATGTTTGGTAAAACTAGTTGATAAGTTACCTGATAGTTGATAAGCTATTTTATAGTTTATCAGTAAATTTTTAGTTTATATAGCTTATAGATTGTGACTTATAGCGGAAAAGCTAACTTATATGATAAAAGTGTTTGGTAAAATTAGTTGATAAACTAGCTGAAATAAAAAATTCAACTAGCTTAAAAAGCTCATCCTACAAAAACGAGACTTATTTGAATATATGGAGCTTATAAGCTAACCAAATAAGCTATAAGCCAACTTATTTGTCTATCAAACATCGCTTTAATAGTATTTTATTAATCAATTTTATTATATACCATAAATATCCTTGAAAACCCTAGTGGGATTATTAACAATTAATATAAAATGATGTTAAAAAATTAATAAATCGCGTTGTTAACAAAAAGTAAAATAATTATTGATTAGTTATAAAAGTTTTGACTTATCATGGTTTTAGCCGACTATGCTCCATTTTCATCCGGTGTTGGTTCTATAGCTCTCTATTGGTATTCTTTCCGATTCTAGAATATTTTTGTCTGCCATCATGCCTTTAATGATACTGTAGGGATTAGCTGTCTGGGCTCTTCGAGATGCACAACCTGGAGGCCAAGTTCGATAGGTTGCGACGTAGGTTGAGACAATGAAATAGAGATGTTTTTTATAATCTCGCTCATACCTTGATTGATGCTCAAAATTTTGTAGCAGACATTGAGCGAGCTTATGATTTGGACCACCCACCCTTAAGAATATATATATATATATAATATATATATATATATATTGTTTTTATTTCGAGTGTCAGCTGTGCCTCTCTATGGCCGAGGATTTTTAGAAGTAGAAGGCGGTCGCTCGTTGGGTTGGTGAAGATGAGCACAATACCAAGTTCATTCATGAGTTTACAAAGACATGCTAAGATGCATGTCCACAATATTGAGGACAAACGAGTCTCTTTAATCCAGGAATCCCATATAGGGGAGTCGGATATCGCAAACTTTTCAACATCCCTTTACCCTATAAATGACTTGCTTATGTCCCGATCGCCTCTAATTTTCCCAGTATTCCTTCAGGTGGAACTTAGTGGCCTTTGTAAGATGCCAACTATGAGGGAATTTAGAGATGCAATTTTTTAGATTCATCCCAAGAGCGTATATGGGTCTGACGTGTTCTCATCCTTCTTCTGTCAGGTATGTTGCGACATTGTCGAGAATGATGTTGAAGAGGTGGGTTTGGATTTTTTCAATAGTTTTCGGATGTCAGAATCCTTTAACGCTACCCCCAATTTTCTTGTTCCACAAAGGACCTAACCCTAGCACTTGGTCCGAGACTATTAGCCTCTGTAAGATGACCAATAAGATCATCATATAGATTCTTAACGAACGCTTGACTCTAATTCTTCCCTCCATTATTGATTCGAATGAGAGTGATTTTATTATGGATTATGTCATCAATGGTAATATCTTTCTGGGGCAGGAGATGATCCACATCTCTCATACAAACTGGAGGTGCTCCCCGAATCCTGCGCTGAAGTTTGGTATGAACAAGGTGTATAATAGGGTAAAGTGGTAGTTGCTTATGGAGATATTTGTTCTACTAGGTAAGGTGGCTTGGTTTTGTCAAGGGCAAGTGTGGAGCACTGCATGTTCTTCATTTTGATTAACGGTAGCGCCTCTAACTTTTTTCCGTCTTCTAGAGGCTTAAGTCAAGGTGATCCCCTGAACATCCCGACTTTTATTACTATCAGAGTACGCGCTTTTCGCAAATTTCTGAATAAATAAATAAAATATTTATTTTGTGAAAACTGATTCGGGATGCTACCGTGAAAAAATTGATTTTTCTGAAAACCATTAAATTTTTAAACTGATATATAAAACGGTTATAATGTCTTAACCGACTAACGTCTGATCAACAGCTGAAAATAAGTACTGATAGTTTTAGCGGAAATCACAGCGTGGAAAAAACATATATACATATATTCACAAATATCCTGAACTGCTCGCCAGCTCACTCCTCGTCCCCGACCCTGCGACCTGAAAAACATGAAATGCGTGGGGGTGTGAGCACTATAACACTTGTGCTCCGCAGAAACTCATACTAATGTAAACATTGAAAATAATAAAAATATCATGATCTTAGCATATATAACTGAACTGAAACTGAAACTGAAACTGATATCTGATACCGGTCTGATCTCGCGACATAAGTCACGTAACTGATAACTGAATATCTGTCGGCACAAACTTGTTGGAACCCATGAGGATCTCGATATGCACAAATCACGGACAAACATTCAACATAAACCTATGCGCAGCGGATCTAAAGGTTTGATGAAGAAAACTTACTGCTTAAAATTTATGTAGATCTGGCTGGCCCGAACAGTTGACCGTAAATCAAATCTTCTCGGAATCGAATAAACTTGACCAATCCAGAAATCTGACGTCACGGCGAAGTCAACGGCGTTGACCGATCAGAAATTGGAGCTTCCACGCGCTCTCACGCGCGCGAGTGACTCCCAGCAGCAGCGAACTCCCCGGCGGCGCGTGTGGGCGCGTGCGGCGGTGTGCGGCGGCGATCTCGACGGTGATCTCTTCGTCTCGTCGTCCTGGTCTTCGTGGTATGGTCACTTGCTGGTTTTGGTCTCCGGTTTGGATGTATGATTGGAATCTCTATATACCTTAAGATCTTCTACTGTATTCTCAAACAGCTTTCTAGATCTTGTATCAGTGGAGCACAAAAAATAGAAGAACTCCTTAGAAGAGAGAGAAAGAGAGCTGGACGTGTTTCCCAAGGTGTTGGACTGTTCTGTTCTCTTTCATGAGCCTAATGCTGTATATATAGAGCTACAGTAGGGACCCTAAGGAGAATATGATAAGGGCTTCTAATATATTAATACTGTGGAGCAACCCCACAATTAATATATTAATAATATTAAAGTCCACCACAATAATATTATTGCACTCCCCTCACCTATCCCAAATTACATTTGAGACTCTTTATTATAATTATCCGATTTACCTCCCCATGTTTAAGATATAATGTCCATTAATTAATTCGATCACTAATAATCAAGAATTAATTAATATATTATATTACCGAAGCTAGCGCTCGCTCATAGCATTCATATTATGCCGGAATAAATCCACCTGCAGGGTTTAGCATAATATTCCTTCATGAACTCACTTCGGGGACATCATCATACTAACGCACATGGTGACCGTAAATATCCTAATAGCACATCGAACACATAATGTTATTACCCAATTCATTAAGTATGTCGACCCGGCTTGGATCTCACCCAAAGAATCAAAGCAACAACAGTGATGTGCACATGCCTATTTAATATCTTACGGGTTAAGAGCACGTAATAATTAACTGAGGCCTAGTTCGTTTACGATGATCAGTATAAAAACGAACATCCCTCTCTGGGATCCTGTTCAATACATAGATGTACTAGTGCAACTAATCGGTCAAGACAAACCGTACGGTTGACACTACAACCGTTTCGATGGGTTGTTCAATTCCATTTAGGTTGTGAACCAATGATTCTTGTTTCGCAAGTAACTGATATAGTGATCTTCGGTACACCCGATGACGACCCACTTATCTACATTCAAAACAACAGAACGTGGAATTTATTTAACCAAACATAATTCTCATTCATCAAGGAATAACAAGTGTAATATCCACTAAAGCAAAGCTTAAGTATATAACACCAACAATCTCCCACTTATACTTAAAGCTGCCGCTTTACTACTATAGTCCTATCAATCCGTATCCTAAAAGACCTATGTCGATCCTATCACCATACATTTGAGCAATCTTGGTGATCTCAACTTCTCCTCTTGCCACAATATCTCTGATAAGGTGGTATTTGCGCTCTATGTGTTTGCTTGCTCTGTGGGCTCGTGGTTCCCTTGAGTTTGCTACTGCACCACTGTTATCACAGTACACGGTAATAACACGTGGCAAACTCGGAATCACTTCTAAGTCCACCAAGAAGTTTCTGAGCCAAACTGCCTCTTTCGCTGCCTCAGAGGCTGCGATGTACTCGGCTTCCATAGTGGAGTCTGCTACGCACTTTTGCTTAGCACTTCTCCATGAAATGGCTCCACCTCCCAAGGTAAACACATAACCTGAGGTTGACTTACTCTCGTCCCTATCTGACTGAAAATCAGAATCGTTGTAACCCAGCGGAAACAAACTGTCTGCACGGTAAACTAACATGTACTCCTTAGTCCTTCGCAGGTACTTGAGTATATGTTTCACCGCAGCCCAATGTTCCCTTCCTGGATTACTCTGATATCTCGCTAATATGCCAACGGCACAGCTAATATCAGGCCTAGTGCACAACATTGCATACATGAGACTTCCTACTGCCGAAGCATAAGGAACTGTCTTCATGTCCTCTATCTCCTCAGTCGTCTTAGGAGACAACTCCTTAGATAAAGGTACTCCATGTCTAAAAGGTAATGTACCTCTCTTAGAGTTATGCATACTGAATCTGGCCAAGACAGTATCTATATATGAAGACTGGATAAGCACATCATTCTTTTCTCACGATCACGAATGATCTTGATACCAAGAATGTGTCATGCTTCACCCAAGTCCTTCATACCAAACTTCTTAGACAACCACGCCTTTACGTCCGACAACTCCTTCTTGTTGTTGCCA